TCCAGGTCGAGCTACTGCTCACCATCTTAGCTGTAGAGGGCAGTGTCACTGGCCCTCATATGTGGGATCCGAACCGGGGCCCTCTGGCGTCCCAAGGCAGTTCTTAACCATCGCGCCACTCAGCCAGCCTCAAAGAGAGGTTCTTAAAAGCCGCAAGGGAAAAGCAGTTAGTTACCTACAAGGGAGCCCCAATAAGACTGTCAGCTGACTTCTCAACAGAAACTTTGCAGGCCAAAAGGGAGTGGCAGGAAATATTCAGTGATGAAAAGCAATGACACACAACCAAGATTGCTCTACCCAGCAAGGCTGTCATTTAGAATTGAAGCAGAGATAAGGAGCTTCCCAGACAATAAAAAGCTGAAGGAGTTCATCACCACCAAGGAATCTTAGAGGGACTTCTTTAAGATGGGAGGGCATAAAGGATAAGTGAAAGGGGAAGGGGTTAAGAAGAACAAATTGGTTGTTATGAGTAGTCATGGGGATGAAGGGTATAGCATAAGGAATATAGTCAATAATATTGTAATAACTAGGTATGGTGCCAGATAGGTACTAGATCTATCACAGTTATAGATGGAAATGGGGTTGAGGGCAGGGTGAAAAGGTGAAGGTATTAAGAAATACAAATTGGTAGTTAATACAGTATGGAGAATATAATCAACAATGTTGTAAAGATCATATAAGGTGCCAGATGGGCACTGGACTTATCAGGGGGATCACATCACAGACTGTGTATATACGTGACCAATGCACTATACACCTGAAGCTGAAGTAGAATAATACTGAATGTCAACTATAACTAAATATATAGGTATATATAGTCACGTGATGTGGAATACAGCATAGGGAAGATAGTTCATGGTATTGTAACAGCTATATAAGATGTCAGAGGGGTAGTAGCTTGGGGTGTGGGTTATCACTTTATGAGGGGTTTAAATGTCTATATGTTGCTTTGTACACCTGAAACTAATAATAATAATAAAAAAAAAACGCAAAAAAATCCCAAAAACACCAACAGATAAACAAAGTCTTAACAGCTTCTGAGGAGAAAATTTCCTGTCTTGATATTTGTCTTCCTCCTTTCTCAAGCATCATCTGTCTTCTTACTAAGTGAGAAATGCTCAGTCTGCTTTAAAAAGAACAAAATTGCCAAATTTAATAATTCAATATATTTCTCGAGTGCCCATTATGTGCCAGTGATTATACTGAGCATCAAGGACAGAGTGATAAATAAAAACTCATCCATGTCTGCTTCCCTTGAATTCTAATGGAAAATACAGGGATCATCTAAATAATCATGATACAAGGTGGTCAGGAGTACAACCCTGAGCTATGTAAAAAGGGAAGAAAAAGTAGAAGAATGGCAATTGCTCAGTTTCTTGGAGAGGCTGGGAGAAGAGGGTCAGATTAGCCTTCACATTTTGCCAAGAAAAGGGTAGCGTTTGGGTAGAAGGTAGTAGCAAGAAAATACCACTTGTGGGCCGGCCGAGTGGAGCGTTGGTTAAGAGTTGGCTTGGGACACCAGCTCTGAGCAGCAGGGCCCCAGTTCAGATCCCACGTGAGGGCTAGTGACGCTGCGCCCTTTACAGCTAAGATGGTAAACAACAGCTCAACCTGGAGCTGGGCTGCTGTGAGTCACTGGCAATGGCATAGGCTGCATTGGGGCTGCAGTGGGCTGCCATAAGCTACCGTGAGTGGCTGGCAGCCGGCGTGAGCTGCCGTCCATTGGCCAGCGAGCAACTGCCTCACCCAAGAAGAGCACAATGATAATACCAACATGGGCCAGTGAGGCGATGTCTTCCACAACTAGACTGAAGAACAAAAGGACAGCAACTTGTCTGTTCCCCTCCCCCAATTCCCCAATAAAATCTTTAAAAAAAAAAAAAAAAAAGAGGGCTGGCCGAGTGGCACATTGGTTAAGAACTGGCTTGGGATGCCAGAGGGCCCCGGTTCGGATCCCACATATGAGGGCCAGTGACACTGCCCTCCACGGCTAAGATGCTGAACAACAGCTCAACCTGGAGCTGGGCTGCCATAGTCACTGGCGACGTCATAGGCTGCAGCCCCTGTGGCAGTGGGTTGCCATGGGCTACCGTGTGTGGCCAGCAGCCAGCGTGAGCGGCCAGCAGGCACAGTGAGCGGCCGTCCAGAAGCCGGCGACTGATCTGCCTCACCCGGGAAGAGCGCAATGATGGTGCCAACTTGGGCCAGTGAAGCAACGTCCTCCACAACTAGACTGAAGACCAAAACGACAGCAACTTGCCTGTTCCCCTTCCCCCAATTCCCCAGCACTGTTCTCATCCCAATTCCCCAATAAAAATCTTTAAAAAAAAAAATCAGCCCCAATTTATTTTATAAACTCTCAAATTGTTGGTCATATCACTTACCTGTTGCTTCAAAGGTCAGCTTTATAGAATCCCAGGGTGTCTGTTCTTTGGCGACAAGTCTGAAATGAACAGGATCTCTTGGGGAAACCTCTGGGGCAGGAAGATACCAGTTTTTCCTATTTGGAAAGGAATTCAATCTTAATATTCCAATAATATTTAGGATGCTTTATTAGTTGATAGTTACCAGTAACTCGTGGAAGTGTTCAGAATATATGAAACACATTTTGGAGTATGAAAATAAACCCTGATGGACATAGTCAACAACGCCAATTCCTCTGAAGCCCAGGTTACTGTGTAATAAAACCTCCAAGTTGAGAATGAAGGATCCTAGAGGACCCTGATTCCCCTACTCATCCTCTTCTCACCTAATCCTTCACGGCTAAACCATCAAAACTTCCCAGCTCAGGGAAGAGGGCCACCCTTTCTAGCTACTTAGATTTCTACAGGAAAATACTTCTTGAATTTGAAAAAAAGCAAAGAAACAGAGCTTTTGTAGTGATAGAAAAAAACAGTATAAATGGCACCTGATTTCGGTGTTAACCAGTTTAAATAAGGAAGTCCTGAGACATTTACAGGACTTGGGACCAAACTAACCTCCAGCAACAGCAGAAAGGTAGTGAACCAACCTGATCAGAAAGTGCACTGGAAGGTACCACGGGAAGCCACACAGGGGTGCGTTCTCCTCACAGTGAGCTCGGATGGTGTCATTGATCTCCGGAATGTGAGGCGTTACGTGAGACATTCCAGTGTAATCAAACCCATTAATCCATATTCCAGAGTCCCGCTTAGCTACGTTTCCATCCAGGTCATGAAATGTCCTAGTCATATGCTGGAAAGGAAAAGGCTAATGAGAAAACTACTGTTTGAACTCCACCCACATCCCCACCCCATATTAACAAAAATGGGTAAATCTGACAATCCCAAGAACTGATGTGGCTATGGAGCAGGAACAGAGCAGGAACCCTCACACACTGAGGCAAGAGTGTACGCTGACACATCACGCTAGGAATCTGTTTAGCGTTACCTAATAGAGTTAACGTGCACCTACCCTTCAAGCCAGCAGTTCTACTTCTGAATATACACCACAGATAAACTCTTGCAATGTCCATTAACAGTAGAATGGGCAAACTAACTGGGGAATCATCCTACAACAGAAGTCTATTCAGCAATGCAAACTAATGCACTACAGTGACACAAATCACCATGGACGATTCTCACATACTTTTGGGCAAGAGAATATTTATGGTATGGCTTTACCTATAAGAAGTTCAAAAATAGGCAAAACTATGTTGTTTAAGGACTTACACATATGTGGTAAAATAAAGAAAAGTAAGGTAACGATTAACTCCAAGCTTCAAGGCAGTGGAGGAGTGCTTTTTTGGAGGCTGGGGACAGGGAGGAGGGGAAAGAGCTGGGATGAAGAAGGGGCACTGGGGGGGCCGGCCAAGTGGCGCGCTGGTTAAGAGCTGGCCTGGGATGCCAGCTCTGAGCAGCAGGGCCCCGGTTCGGAGCCCACATGAGGGCCAGCAAAACTGCTCTGTACAGCTAAGATGGTGAACAACAGCTCGACCTGGAGCTGGGCTGCCGTGAGTCACCGGCAATGGCAGAGGCTGCAGCCCCTGTGGCAGTGGGCTGCTATAAGCTACCGTGAGCGGCCGGCAGCCGGTGTGAGCTGCCATGAACTTCCGTCTGGTGGCCAGCGACCAATCTGCCTCATCTGGGAAGAGCACAATGATAATACCAACATGGCCAGTGAAGCAATGTCCTCCACAACTAGACTGAAGAACAAAAGGACAGCAACTTGTCTGTTCCCCTTCCCCCAATTCCCCAGTGCTGTTCCCCTCCTTCAATTCCCCAATAAAATCTTAAGAAAAAAAAAGGGGGGGGGCGGGCACTGGGTTTCCTTAGGCACTGCTAATGTTCTTTCTTTTAAACTTGATGATGGATATACAGATGATTGTTTTATTTCTTACAAATATATATATATATATACATTAAAATTTCATATAAAAAGTTTGAAAACCTAATTTCAGATCTAAAACACATGGAATCTAGAACTCCTTTTAGATAAGGACTTAAAACAAATATACATACATGATATATACGTAAGATAAATATACATACACACACATTTCCCTTTCAGTGTGTGTTACATGAAGCTAATTCCCATGCAGAGAAAAACAGGAATCACAGCCCACCACTAGATGACAGACGTGTGCCTAACAGAATTCTATGAAAGGGCACCATGTTCCATCTGGAATAGTTTTATTAACAGCAGAAAGCAGCCTAAAGAATATCAAGCAGGAAAATAAAAAGGCCTGCATAGGGCAGGGGAGTCAGTAAACTACAGCTCGCAGGCCAAAGGGTCCGTTACCATTTTTATAAATAAAGCTTTATTGGAACACAGCCACACTCATTTGTTTAGGTCTTGCCTATGGCTGCTTTCACTCTGTAAAAACAGGTGTGACAGAGACCATAGGGCTGGCAGATCTCAAAATATTTGTTATCTGGCCCTTTACAGGAAAAGTTCATCACCAACTTCTGGCACTGAGAAAGAAAGAAGCAAACTCCAAACTCAACTCAGAACAGAAGTTTTTAAAAATAAAAGTCTAGCTCTTCCTAAATACTCCTGATGTAATTATAAAAATTAGCAAGACATTATGTAGTACACCTGAAACTTATAGACTATTGTACATCAACAATTCAAAATAATATTTTTAAAAAGTAGTAAGTCACTGAAAATATATTAAATCTAAAAAACTATTCACTAAAGGTTTTGCAAATGGTAAAATTTGTCACATAAAATGTGCCACTGTGTCCTCCAGGACAATAAACAAGGAACAGCTGGCCTTTTTTCAAAATCTCCTCTCTCATATTTAAGTTCAGATATGATTATTCAAATCTTTGAATAGTTATCTAGGTTATGACTCTTGGCTTTTCTGTTTGGCCACTCCACAGCCTCCGACAGAGAAGATGATTGGAAATAAGGCAACTGAGTCTTTTTTCCTGCTTTATAGTACAAGCTCTAAAAAGTATCCAGAAAAACTTGAAACCTAAGAAAATTCTAAAACTCATTTAATTTCTATTTTATTTTCACTGTCACATATTACTTTGAGAGTTACCTAAGGTCAATTTTACTAGCATTTTAAAACATCTATTTAATTTTGCCAGTTGACAGAAGTTCAGATGTTTACTCAGCCTGCAGACATGTTTACAATATCTACTTCTAAAAACTCATTATTCCATGATATATATTTGTTCTCATTTTTCCAAGTAGGTGCAATTTTTTTTACAATTTGAACAGTAATAAAAACAACAAGCAGATATTTCCAATTTGGTCTCTGGGGAGAAAAGTGTGTTCAGCTGATAAGAATGCCTCTTGATGGTCAGTCTTTTCCTCACTGCCTTACACAAAATAGTGAGTCCAACTAAATAGGTCAACAGGAGAAAAGTCAGTTGGTTTTCCTGTTGACTAGTGAAGCTCAAAAACACAAAAGGCATTCCTCTCCAGAATCTCAAATAGCTCACGCAAAACTGCTCTTACCTGAAGAAACACTCTCTTTGGCTTCGGGCTGGCAGGATTGGAGCTGTACGGGAAAAAAGTTCCACTGCAAACAAGGAGGAATGTAACTGTACATACCAAAGCTAAAGTCAGCATGGTTTTTTTTGTGCTTTTGGCAAGGTAGATGAAGTTAATCTGAAACACAAAACACAAACATTGAGAAGTTACCACTGGCAGAAAAGTGTTTTTAACCACTTTATAATAGGTGTTATCCAACAGATTATAAAGAAAATTTATCAGCATGTGCCAACATACTCCAACCCGAGTAAAAAGGCACTAATTATACGGGATTTCCATCACAAATCAGAGCCCAGATAAGTGAGAGATGCCCCATCTGCCATGACAGTGCCTTTCTGACAGGCAGCCAGGCAGTGAGAGGAAAAGAGAAAGTGGGACTGTCTGTGCTCAGTTGGCACAGAAACTAGAGGATGTAGATCCATCACCAGTGAAGCCATGACCTTATTTTATTTCCTGTTCTATCAATGCCCAATGAACACTGCATAGCAGACTATTTAACTACCAGAACATCATGACATCAGGCTTTTAGTAAAGAAACAGGTAAGCATTTAAGTGGAAGAAGGCCTCCTTCAGTAAATTTCACATTTCACTCAGTGCTTCTGTAATGTGCCAAGGTGCTGGCTTCACCTGAACTAGCATTTAGATGTGCCTTCAAGACTTTGCCTGTGGACCTGCGTATGAGGAAAAATGGCAAAACAATGTAAAACTGTCCCTTTCAATGCTGAGTTAACCAAAGCCAATGCAATCACACCAACAAATCTGAACTTGGGCAGGCAAAGCAAGTAGCTCAGTCTCAAGGCGGGCAGGCATCCAGAAAATCCTAAATATGCTCAGATTACCCTTTTAATTGTGATGCAATCACTGAATTAAAAGTTGTAGGGAACTTACATGACTCCGATCCCTTAGGGGTTCTGAGGAGTCACTTCGAGAAACTATGATACAATATCCCAGCTCCCCGTTTTGCCTTCTCCCCTTTATCACATACCCTCTAGGCTCAATAAGTAAAAAAGAACATGAATATGAAAATACTTTTATTGCGATGAAAATTAAAAATTAAGCAAGTATTCATAACCTGCCATATACTCTATTATATAAAATTAAAGAATTTTATATCCATAATGTAACAGTATCCCATCCAGTGTAATCACCAGCAAAACAGTCCTGGTCTTATGTGAAAGATGGTAGGTTTTTATACTGTGAGCACAGAAATAAGACAAAGTTCCCAAGGACCCAAGACCATGAGTTAGCAAAACGCAATTTGCTGCCTTCATTTAATCATTATAACCATGATGGCCCCAGCACAGGGTAACCCCAGGAAACCTGTTAACTGATCACTTGACAGGAATTTAATTGCTGTCTAGCAAATATATTTTAAAATCCCCAAGGACTGAAAGAAAAGCTCTCTGAAATATGCAGTGGTTCAGTCCCCATCATCCAAGGAGAATGGGCTTGCTCTGAACAAGCCACACTCTCTCTGACACTGCGACACACAAGGAAATGAGAATAACCCACAGCATCGAAGAGCAGCAAAGCCATTTCACATAATGAAAACTAAATGAGGTTTTGAAGTATTCCAAGAAGCACTCTCCAAAAGCTTTCCTAATGAATTTAGGAAATAATTTAGAGGATAATAGACTTTAATCCTCTTTTTGATGGTTTCCAAGGTGTCCGCACTTTGGAGTCATTTTCAATTTCCACAGGGGTTTTCAGAGTTCATTTTGAATTCTTCCATGTGGAACAGCACTGAAATGCCCCACATTTTGATCATCTTTTATAAGTATCAATAACTTTCATTCACTGATTGATTTAAATATGCTGGGGGCGACCAGTGCATAAATTAGCCGACTCCAGATTAGGACCTGATCTACATATGACGCAACTCCACCCTCTCTAATCCTCACAACAGCAAACCTATCTGGTAACATGTATAAACCAAAATGTTGAAACCAAAATAAGTAAACCCTGAAAGCAACAAAGAACATTTCAGAATTCTCCATCTATCCCTGCAAGTACCAACAGACTTAATCATTATGTTAAAGTTAAATTGGCAGGAATGCTCAGGTATCTTTTAGGACTAGTACAGCTGACCTCAAACAACAGTGTGAGTAAGAATTACTCTCTGGGACTATAGATGCAGGTGCACATTCAGCTATTTATTGGCTAAGTAGGGGACTTCTGCAGGAAATGCTGACCATGCATGTGGTATTCTTAACCTGCTGCCTCTAGATCCAAATCTCCACACTTGATGCCCTTTACTGCATCAACAGGGAAAAGGCCCCTGTCATCTCCCTCGAGGAAAGGACTACAATAAAGTCATAGCTACTTTTTCTAATGGTCCCCTACCCTCAAATCTCAGACTATACCTGTAGGTATTCGGTAAGTGCTTCTTATTCTTAGGCATTCCAGTGAAAAGAGCCACACAGCAGAGACCAGCCTCCCCTGGAGGGCCAGAGCCCTGGGTCCTGGGGAGTGCTGGCCCTGTGCCCAGGGCGGACCTCTGCCTGGAGCTCTAACGAAGAGGGTCTGGTTGTCAACCCTGCAGCGTGTCTTTTCTTCCCTCTGGAGAGTCCCAGGGAAGAGAGGCAGGGATTGCAAAGGTGGGACTCTCCGTCCGAGGGCAGAGCACTGATAAAGAAAAATGACAACCCTGTGATACTCGTTCATGACTTGCTAAATAAAAGCACTGGGGGTGTCAGTAGGTGTACATCACTCAAAGAGACACTCAATTAATGAACTTTGCTGTGCTAGCAGCAAGGTAGTAGAGTGATAATGGAAAAAGCCTCATGAGAACTAGTATTCCTTCACCAGCTCTAAAAGCAGTAATAAAACTACTATGTATGTATTAACATTGGCCTCTAATTAGTAGGCTCAAAACACACTATTAGGATTCATTCTAAAACTTCACCACCAAGAAATCACTACCTATTCTCACTTGGTATGCATGCTACAAATTCACATTCACGTAGTTTGAAAAGTTATTTAAAAAGAGGCATAATCAGGACTGGGGAGGATGAGGAGAAAAAAATTACAAAACCCCATTCTACATTTTCTTACCATACCAAACCTACAATATGCACAGTCATTCACTATTTCTTTTGCTTAAGAATTTCTCAATAAATGATAAGCAACACTGTTTCACAGAACAGAATGGCTACACTCATCACATATTTATATAAAAAATGAAGAAAGGGGCCGGCCGAGTGGCGCGTTGGTTAAGACCTGGCTTGGGACGCCAGAGGGCCCCGGTTCGGATCCCACATATGAGGGCCAGTGACACTGCCCTCTATAGCTAAGATGCTGAACAACTGCTCAACCTGGAGCTGGGCTGCCGTGAGTCACCAGCGACAGCAGGTGGGCTACCATGTGTAGCCCGCAGCCAGCGTGAGCGACCAGCAGCCGCTGTGATCGGCCGTCCAGAAGCCGGCAACTGATCTGCCTCGCCCGGGAAAAGCGCAATGATGGTGCCAACTTGGGCCAGTGAAGCAACATCCTCCACACCTAGACTGAAGAACAAAAGGACAGCAACTTGTCTGTTCCCCTTCCCCCAATTCCCCAATAAAAATCTTAAAAAAAAAAAAATGAAGAAAGAAGAAAATTAAATATTTTCCTTACAAAATAGGAGGAGAGAATCATCGTACAACCAGCCAAAATGGAAGCCAGGACAACATCAGGTGGAATTTCCGAACCACTCCTCCCAAGGATGGGGGTAAACATCTCAAATACCGCCCAGATGAGGTACAATGCATAAAGATAAGGAATAAACATCCCGAGAAGGTAAAAGGCAATAAATTTTCCTTGGGCACCTAGGGAAAAAAAGAAAGAAAACACACATCTCTGAAATTCTACAGTGAGATTATTATGGTACTGCTGTACCTTGGCACCTAACAGAAACTAGGTCACATGTGACTCTTGCCCTTTTGGTACATGTTATCTATTGAGATAAAACACTTTTACTCAGAGAAGCTAAAGTACAAATAAGAATTAAACAAAATCCATAAGTACTATATTAGCATGTGTTCATAAACGTGAGAATGGAATGAGTTATAAAGTATGAGATAAAAATCAGTGTGGTCTGAAAATTAAAGAAAAAATAAAACAATAGTTCCTGGAAGCTTTATCTTATGTATTTTAAGGTGTTTTCCCACTTGTATTGAAACCAAAAGTACCCTACCATGCTGCTTAAAGTCCTTGTGCACGCAAAGCTTTGTGAGCAATGGAAACGCCACCCAGACAGTACTGAGAAATGCTGAGCAAAATCCTCCGTAAGTGAGAGCTATAAGGGAACCACAATGCACAAACAGCGAGATGTCAAAAAAGACTTCTCCCAGGTATTGGTCACTGGCATTCTGAAAGAAAGGAAAACACACAGGTAGTCTCATTTATGGGCCATTCATAAATATTCTATTGCAATTTAAGTGCCACTGCTCAGAAGAGCCACATTTTGTTTTAAGCAGGGTCTATCCTTTAAACTTGAAAGTAAAACACTGATAAAGCTATTTCCTATTGTGAAGCAATAAATTCAAATTGCTGCACAGGAAAGGGGAATTTAACAAGAGGGGGTAAAAATATCATTACTTGTATATAATCTGTGCTTTTCCTCCACGGGGCTATAAGTAACCTTTGGAAATGTTCTAAAATAGAAGGAGTCTCCTAAAAACATTCACCTCTGTAAGCTATTCTTTTTATGCAACTTCCAGAGAATTCCAGGCACACTAGAGAAAGGACCTGTGAAGAACATGTACAGCTGACCCTCCATATCTGCGGAATGGAAAATATTTCTTTTTTAATGTTACACTGTTGATGGCTACAAAGGTTGTCTCTGTAGCAATACAACTGTTTACATACTATTTACACTGTATTAAGTTTAAGTCATCTAGAGATGATCTAAGTATACAGGAGGATGGAAGTGGGTTATATGCAAATACTATGCCATTGTATATAAGGGACTTAATTAAGCACCCAAGGATTTTGGTATCTGAGGGGATCTAGGAACCAATCCCCCAGGATACTGTATAAGCTGCTGCAGCGCCACCAACAGCCCACCTGGAAAACTGCAGGACCTTTAGAGCACATGGCCATCTGGGGTTTTGCTTGACTCCTGAGTCTTTGTCCTATCTCCAACGGATCTTGTAGTGAAGCTTTGCCCTGTCCTGGATTCCTGGTCCTTTCACATTATAAAATTTGATCATTACTTTTGAGCTTTGAAGTCTAAGCATTCCTGTGCAGCACCTTGAGTTCTTTAGAAAAAAGTTGCTATACGAACTTAATACATTTTAACACCTGTACTAGTGGTTCTATTAATGTAAACATGAAACTTATTCATTTCAGTGAAGAAATATCAAAATGGAATAGATATTAAGTTTTCCTCTTTTCTGCCTTCTCACTTCTATGTATAATCCAGGACATGTTTGTTTTAAGGGATCCTCCTACTTCCAGAGCTCAAGAGTTTCAGTCACATGTTTTCAAAACAAAGTTCATTTGACAAACCACCTTGGACGATGGAAGATATGCTACTGTTGTTAAATATTTAGATGATCAACACAGTGTTAATCAGGAGGCATGGTTGTTAACCATCCATCGGGCACAACTGATCTCACACATTCATTGTACACAAATTTTCAAATATGAAATACGTCTTTACTGTACTAAGTCACAAACACAACTGGCGATACATTATGGTAGAGGGGGACGATACGGAAGTGATGAGTCACGATACTTAACTGTTAGATATTTGAAATTTTGTGTGCAATGTATCTGTGAAATCAGCTGTGCCCGATGGAGGGTAAAAAGAAGAAAATAATTCTTAGGATTCCATTTAAAGCTAAATGTCACTCAAATATTTAAAAACAAAGATTTTAGCAATGAAGACTGTAATAACTGAACATGTTTTATATTAAGTTCCCACATTATACCCAAAGATCAAACAAACATCCCTCAAGTCTAGTTACCTTCTCCCCATCTCTGCTGATCCCTCCCACCTCTGCATGTTTCAATCCATTCTATACACTGTTATCTGAGTTTTCGTACTAAATCACAAACTGTATCCCTCATTATCCTGCTTAGAAAATTTTAATGGTGACCCCACTGATATTTAGGGTCATGCTCCAACTTCACCCTGGCCTGCTTATCCAGTTATTGTACTATCACTTTGTCTTTGCCACACTGGACTGTGACCCAAATACATCTTGTATATTACCACCTTTGACTGCCCATCAACCTGTTCTCTGACACACTTCTTTCTACTCATGCTTCAAAAACCCCGTTCAAATGTCACCACCTGCTGCATGAAGCCTTCTTGACGTCTATCAACAAAATTCATCTCTCCTGGCCCTGCATTGCTATCACTCTATATGTCACCCTACTTCACTTTATCCCAATGTACTGTAATCACTGTGGTTTTCCCATCTTCCCAAATGAAACTGTGAGCTCCTCAAAAAAAGAGACCACATTCTTATGAATCTGGATCACCAGGCCTTAGTAGAATACTCAAAGAAAATCTGTGAAATGAAAATGAAACACATTACTCTTCCCATTGAGCTTTCAGCACGAAGGTTTATGATTGGACAACTGAAGTCAGTCAAAGTAAATGGAATTTTACTAAGCCCCTCCCACCCACATGTCACATCAACAATAGCCACTCTCTGGTTCCATACAACTGCACTCACTAAGCATGTGAAATTGATCCCCACGGTGTAATTCTTTTGGAAACTGAAACCACTAAGATACAAATATTAGCTTAACCATAAATGGATGGCTAACCTCAAAGAACCTTTCTTCCATGAGGGCTGCTAACATGGAAGGGCTCCTCTGACCATATCCCAATATCTAACTGAAACTGAGGCTAAGGTTCAGGTACCAAAGGCATCCTTGGGGAAGGATGCTGGATTTTAGCCTTCCATTTCTTCCTTCTAATCCCTCGAAGGAGAAGCTGAAAAAAAACAGGTGCACACTGGATTTCTTGAAAAAAATGGAGCTAAGAAAGATTTTTCCCTTTAACTCACTTAGAAACTATCAGAAACCATGGCTCACTCACTGTAATTTATTTTTAGTCATTATTTCAACCCTAATTCCTAATTTTATTTTTACAAAATAAATGTATACAGGTGAAACTAAAACAATATGACAATGTTCTCTAAACCAGCATATCATTTTGGAACACTATCTCCCTTCCGATATGCATGCTGTCAGAATTTACATCAGCAATATATAGGTTAAAAAAAAAGTGAAGGAAACTGAAAACTTCAAGTGTAGTTTTAAGTGTAACATTCTTTCAGGCAGCAAATACTTGCTGTGTGTTAGTGCTGGTGTCAGACACAGGGGATAATGAATCAAACAATCCCTGCCCTCAAGGAGTTCACAGTCCAGTGGAGAACAGAGTTATTCACAAATAAATAATTGGGGGAGCCCAGGGGCTGGTAGACTCAAGCAAGAGCATGGTTACCAAAACTGCGGCAGATTCAGCGGAGGCCAGAAGGCTGTGCTAACAAGCCTTGCTGTCACTACCACCCCAAATACCGTTTACAGCTTTATAACCTCATGTGAAATCTTCCACAAAACCCTCAGAAGTAGCAGCCTTTCAAAAATTTAACCCAATTCTGGGAGCCAGTTTCCTATAACCATGCCAAACAATTTTTGAGAGCTCAGAATCCAATAAAGGCATGCACCACATAATGATGTCTTAGTCAAGGACAGACCACATAGATAACAGTGGTCCCATAACATTATAATGGAGCCAGAAAATTCCTGTTGCCTAGTAACATTGTAGCCCTCACGTCACAATGCATCACTCACATGTTTGTGGTGATGCTGGTGTAAACAAACTCACTGCATGGCAAGTCTATAAAACTATATAGCACATACAATTACAGTGGCAGGATCTACCCTCTAGGTTTGTATAAGTGCACTCTATAACATTCACACATTGACAAAATCGCCTCACGACACACTTCTCAGCACGTATACCCACTGTTAAATGGTGCATGACTGGACAATGAATCCCAGTTGAGTTTGTTTTTAATCCTTGAAGGCAACAAAGAGAAACCAATAAATATGCCTAATACTTACCACATAATAAAATCTTTTTGCAAGAGTATGTATGAATATTATTTTGGCTGCCGCTGCAGTTCCATAAAGACAAACGGAGACATAGAAGTGGTTGTACCATGAGAGAGACTGTCCAATCAGAGAGATGAACACTGCTATAATGAGCACAGTCACCAGGCTAGTGAACCAGCTTATCAGGGTGATGCCCACTCCACAGAAGAAGTCCTTCGTGTAGTTAGCCGCTAACGAAAACACAAAGTGGAGACCACCGTCTTTATCAAACAATTTCATGACCAGTAAAAGTTAAAGGGGCAAATGTTAAAACAGAAAATTCACCACAATTGCAAACTATCAAAATGTCTTAGGGGTAAGGTTTGTTAAATACTAGAACAGAGAAGGTATCAATGAATAATACTCAAATAAAATGTACTGAGAGTCTGTGACTCAAAGAGATAAAGTCTCCCAGGGAATAGTTCAGATAGATTCCTGACTAGGAAAGTGGGTGGTCTTAATCTTCCTCACATTTGGGATGCCTTGTGTATCGAAATATCAGCAAGAATGGAAGGCAAAGTTCCACATAAAATCTTGCTAAAAGAAGCTAACAGAGAAAAAGAGGAGCACAGAAAAATAACTGGTAATAAAGGATTATTTAAATTGCTACTAAATATTTTCTCTTGTACAGCACGCACCAACTTAGGCTGTAAAACATTTCAAGTAGAAGCCCAATTCAAGTAGAAGCCCAATTGAACCAGAAGCAATTCATTCATGCTTCAGAATCGTGTGCTACTGGTCTGCAGTGTGGACAAGATATTTTAATGGGGCTTTTCACCAAAAGTCAATCTGTACAAACCATTTTTCAACAGCTGTGTGGTACTTCTATGGAGTGCATTAAGTACATAAAACTTGCCTGCTTCACCAAAACTAAAAGTATAATGAGCATATTAATCTGATACTTTTAGAAATTTCTTACAGTATAAATCAAATGTTACTTTTCTTCAGACTTTTAACTTCTTGGAAAGATATAAGCAAACTGACTAAAAATTTCAGGCAAATCCTACACCCATGCCAGTAGTGCAGCTTTAGGGGGAAATACTTACTCTTATGTTTGGGCTGCAACAATTTTTTGCCCAGATACAAAACAACCATCATTACCACCATGCAGTTAATTATCGATCCAACGCGAGATGGGTAGGCAATGACAAACAGGCCGAGTACATCAAAGAAGACCATGTTCCCATGTCGATACTCAGAAGAAGAAACCAACGTATCAGATGTAGCTAAGTATTTAAGAACTGCTAAAATGTTGTCGCCTATTAGTAAAGAAAAGAAGGATAACAAAGTTGAATAAACCATCCACTATTTGAGTAAAGAAATACGTAGAAAGAATGGGAACAGAAATAGCTTTCTACCACCCTGCTGCTCTCCCTGACTTTTCTTACCAAACTTCTCCAATAAAGTCCACGCCCCTATTGTTTCCTTTCCACTTAGAGGTTCAGCCAACTGGCCTTCATCCTTTCCCTTCTATTAGAACTATTCTGTGATCAATTGTACCCTCGCTGTTGCCAAACCCAATGGCTGTGTCTTAGTCCCTATTCATTTAATATATATTTAATATAGCAAACCCTGCTCTAGACACCAGAAATTCAGTGGTGAACCAAGAGACAAAAAGGCTTCTCATGAAGCTCACAGACACTGAAAAAGTTACTACGCCTGTGTTTAGAATTAATAAGAAATGTCAATTATATCTCAATTTAAAAAAAATAATAAATAGAGGTATTAAAGCCCCCTGGGAACATGTCATGAGAGATTAATGAGTTTGAGAAGTCAGGGAAGCAACTCTGAGGAGTCGATATTTATAGCTGGAGGATGGATACAAGCTAGCTACCATGGGGGAGATTGTCTAGACGGAGAGAACTGTGGTGATGAAGGCCCTAGGGCCAAGTTCCAAATACAGAAACGGAAGTCATGAATGAGGAGAAAGTGATTCAGCAATGAAACTGGAGATCAGGAAGAGTCATTATCAGGAAGAACTGGCACATCAGAGGTTTATAACGAATATTTGTTAAATCAGTCAATGAATGAATGAGTTTGACCTTTAACGTAGGGGCATAAGAAGATTTGAACGACTGGCGTTTCTTCCTGCTGCTCATCCCATCCTTGACCTTCTCCTCTTTTCACTGAAGACACCACACTGTCTTACCATGGGATTTCTTTCATTGGCTTCTCTGTCTGCCTTAAAATGCGTTTTCCCCAAAGCTCAGGTTTAGTCCTCTACCTTTGCTTCATTCTTCCAAAAAACATTTCCATTCTCTATACTTTTGTGGTATTCTCATAATTCCCAAACCCATAGACCACGTTCTGCCAAAAGCTCTAACACTGTATCTATACCTTCATCTGATTGGTTCACAGACTCCACGTGTTGTATGTCTGACAAAGTTCTCAGTCTCCTTCCCCTCTCCGTTACTGCTCTGGGGAGGGTCACCTTCCCACATCCCCAATATGGCCAGTGCCATCACCTTTTCCCAGCTAGCTAGGCTTTATACTTTGCTGCCATCTTTGCTGCCATCCATCTTATTCATCCCTTCTATCTAACCTGTCAAGTCTTGTTCAATTTATATCCAAATGTATCTAATTTTCTATCCCTCCCCTTTCCTTCCTATCTTCTTTCAACACCACAGTCTAGGTCCTCATTATTCCACACTGAAATTACTGTCTCCGGGCTTAAATGACCTGACTCCTGGCTCTCCCCCGTCTCCACCATCCACTCCACACAGCATCACCAGGCTATCAGCATTCTATACTATCATTCATTCATGTACTCAGGCCTTCAATGATACCTTATTTCTACAGCATCTTCTTGCTGATTTTTAAAGTCTTCTACAATTTTCTCTTCCCCATATACTTTTACCTCATTTCCTTCTATTTCTGAAAATACACCTTCCATGTAGATTACAGTCTGACAATCTATTCACCAAACCCCCCCCCCCCCCCCCGCTGAACACACACACACACACACACACACACACACACACACACACACGGCCTACTCATGGTGTGCTCTTACTTGGAATGTCCTCTCCGCTAGGCCAAATCCTACCCACTCTTTAAGGCTCAGCATCAGACTCACCTCCCCTGATACTCTAGATCTCTCTGGAAAGCGCTTTAATTCCCTTGCCCCTGTGTAGTCCTGATGCCTGCCCTATAACCCTCTCACCTACTCTCACCACCCATCCTTGGATTTATGTAACTTTTCTATACCTGGGCAAGCTGCACAAATGTGTTGGTGCCACCTCCAATGTATAGCCTCCATTTTGGCTACACTCTCATTGCTTAGCAATCCTACCATAACCCCGGGTCAACTCCCTTTCCCATTCCTCACAATGAAGTCTTATGTTCTTAACTGCTCAACTAGACTTCAAGGCTAAAAGGCATGCCCTCATATCTCTAACCCCAAAGCCCCAGCTCATTCATACCACACACTGCCTCCCTAACGCAGAGGCCACAGTATATTTATAGGTTAATAGATCATCCCTAATAGTCCATCTTACCATATATGAGAAGTCTAAATTAGAATACCAACCGGCTCTCTGAATGGAATCTGTTAGAATTCTGTCCGCTGTGTCATACTTGGTGTGGTAAATGTATCCATTCTCAATAAAAGCTAAGTCTATTCCTAAGACATACAGGGGGAAAAAAAAGGTCATTTTGCTTTAAAAATCAACTTTGCTTTATGCCTATTTATTTAATGTATTAAATTCTTAAAAGACAAAATGTCAAAGCAGTGGCATGATTGCTTTGTCACATTTATGGCTGAATGATGTAAATTCTCTTACAAACTCTTACAGAATCTATAGCTATGGTACCTAACTTAATACATCTGCCATCTACATACTTGCCAGGCCAGAGCCAAATTTTAACTTCAAATAACCTGAAGAAGCCACCAAAGGTGTAGGCAAAGAAAAATAACAATAAAAGTCAAAAACCCCTGAAGGATCTATTGCCATCTTTTGGGAATAAACTGCTAAACAGTTCTCCTCTGTTATTTTGTCACACTGTGGGGCAAGATGCTATGTTCTAGAAAAGGCAAGCACTTAAACTAGACTGGAGTTTAAAAGAAAAGGAAAATATTAGGGACTTAGTTTCAGGGAGTCAGGATATACAGCTCTCAGAGAATTTGTGCTCTGAAAATGCTGTTTACTCACAAACTTCCAAAAAGTAAAATAAATTTGCCTTTGATTAAGCAGTTATACTACAACCCGTAACAACTGACAAAATACCTGGAATGTTCCCAAAATCCCTGTAGATACGGAAGTCAGTATCTGAAGGAATAATTCCACTCTGGAAAACCTCCTGAGCAACCACAGAGGCAAAAGGGTGTTTAGCTGTGGAAACATAAGCTTGGACCAACCAGGGATTTTCAGGACCTGAAATAGAACAAGACAATATAAGGTTCTGGTGATTTTTTAAACATACTGAATTTTTAACAAACTTAAAACAGTTACTGTGGTGGTTTGGAGAGAAAGATCCAGTGGTTTTTTTTTTAAAATCATTTTTTTTCTGTATTTTCCAACATTTCTCAGATAAATGTGGATGATTTTAGAATGAAAAATAACTTTTCAGGGCTGGCCCAGTGGCACGTTCGTTAAAAGCTGGCTTGGGACGCCAGCTCTGAGAAACAGGGCCCCAGTTCGGATTCCACATGAGGGCCAGTAACACTGCCCTCTACAGCTAAGATGGTGAACAACAGCTCGACCTGGAGCTGGGCTACCATGAGGCGGTGGCATAGGCTGCAGCCCTTGCTGCAGTGGGCTTCCATAAGCCAGCGTGAGCGGCCGGCAGCCAGTGTGAGCTGCCAAGAGCCGCTGTGAGCAGCCGTCCAGAAGCCAGAGACTGATCTGCCTCGCCTGGGAAGAGCGCAATGATGGTGCCAACTTGGGCCAGTGAAGCAACGTCCTCCACAACTAGACTGAAGAACAAAACGACAGCAACTTGTCTGTTCCCCTTCCCCCAATTCCCCAGCGCTGTTCCCATCCCCCAATTCCCCAATAAAAATCTTTTAAAAAAAAACAGCCAGGACATTATTGGAACAATTGGAGAAATCTGAATATGTACTCTTCATTAGATAATAGTTTTATATTAGTGTCATATTTTTGAGTGGGATAAATGTGCTGTTATAAAGGAACATATCCTTTTATCTTCTGAGTGATTACATTGAGATTATCTATTGAGATGTTTTTTTCTCCTTTATTCTGATAATGCAGTGAATTACATAGATCGATTTTTCAAACGGTAAACCATCTTCATTTACCATTCAGTAAAGTTGCAGGATACACTCGTAAAATCAATATACGAAACTCAGTTGCATTTTATACACTAATAATGAATTGTCAGATAGAGAAATTAAGAAAATAATCCCATTTATAATTGCATCAAAATTAATTAAAAAAAACTAAGAATAAATTTAACCAAGAAGTTGAAAGATCTGTACACTAAAAACTATAAGACACTGATGAGAGAAACTTCTAAAGAAGACACAAATAAGTGAAAAGACTTCATACTCATAAATTGAAAGAATTAATAATGTTTAAAAGGCCATAACTACCCAAAGCAATCTACAGATTCAATGCAATCCCTATCAAAATTCCAGTCGCATTTTTCAAAGATATACAACAAACAATCCTAAAATTTGTATGTAACAAAAGATCCAAACAGCCAAAGCAATCTTTAGAAAGAAGAACAACGCTAGAGGCATCATATTTCCTGATTTCAAACTGTATTACAAAGCTATAGTAATCAAAACAGTATGTATTGGCATAAAAACAGACACAAAGATCACTAGAACAGAGCAGACAGCCCAGAAATAAACGCAAGCATATATGTTCAATACATTTATGACAAATGAGCCAGAAATATACAATGGAGAAAAGACAGTCTCTTCAACAGATGATATTGGGAAAACTAGGCAGCCATATGCAAAAGAATGAAGCTGGACCACTATCTTATATCGTACACAAAAATTAACTCAAAATTGATTAAAGATTTGAACATAAGACCTGAAAACATAAATCTCCTAGAAGAAAACATAGGCGATAGGCTCCTTGACATTGTTCTTGGTGATGGCTTTTTGGATTTGACACAAAAAGCAAAAGCAACAAAAGAAAAAATAAATAAGTGGGAATATATTCAACTAAAAAGCTTCTCCACAGCAAAGGAGACCATCAACAAAAAGAAAAGACAAGCCACTGAATGGGAAAAACTATTTACAAATCATACATCTGATAAGAGGATAATATCCAAAATATATTTTAAAAACTCATATAATTCAATAGCAAAAACATAACAAAAAACAACAGAACAATCCGATTGAAATATGGGAAGAGGATCTAAATAGACTTTTTTTAAAATAAGACATAAAGATGGCCAACAGGTACATGAAAAGGTGTTCAACATCACTAACCATCAGGGAAATGCAAATAAGAACCACAATGAGGTATCACCTCCCACCTGTCAGAATAGCTATCATCAAAAAGATTAGAAATAACAAGTGTTGGTAGGATGTGGAGGAAAAGGAACCCTCGTGCATCACTGATGGGAATGTAAATTGGTGCAGCCACTATGGAAAACAGTATAAAGGAGTCGAATTCTGCCAGCAGACAGCCTTTGGACTAGAACTTCAGCTTCTCCTGGAGACTCCGTCTGTCCCCTCAGACCTTGAGCTGGCCAACCCCCTACAACTGTGTGAGCCAATTCCTCAAGATAATCTCTCATGTATACGGAGAGTACCAAAAAAATGTATACAAGTTTTTTTTGTGTATACATTTAAAATGTATATACATTTTAAGAAAGGAAAGAACTATATTAAAATTGTAATACTCAATATATACTGATAACAAAAGATGAATACAAGTCATGTGTATATATATTTTTGGCACCCTCGGTGTATTATATAGACCCTGTTAATTCTGTTTCTCTGGAGAACCATGATTAATACACATTTGCTTTTAACTTTTTTTGTTTCTTGATAAGTGTATTTAAAGATATAATTTCCCTCTATGCATTGCTTTAGCTGTGTCCCACAATTTAACACTCAATTCTTACTATTTCTTAATCTCTCATGATTTTACACTAATATGTTAGTTTGAAAACATATTTAAAAAGCTATTTTTTGTTTTTAATTTTTATTTTCTTGCCTATTGGCTAAAGGACATGTTTTCTAGCACACTAAGCCCTTGAAGTTTATTGAGGCTTCCCTCATGGGGGATGTATATTTTTTTTATACTCCCAGTGTGCTAAAAAAGAATTGCTCAAGCTTACTAATTTTATTGTTCAGATCTTTTATATATCCAATGATTTTTAAAAATCTGTTTAATTTATTGGTTTCTGAGAGTGTTTTACAGTCTTCAAGTACAATTGTTATTTCTCCCTACATTTCTGTTATTTGTTGGTTTATATATTTGAGGTTACATTGTTAGAGGCATATATTATTTTAGGATGATTATATTTTTATATATGATTGATTATTTTACAATATTTAATGTCCATCTTTGTTCTTTATGATATTTCTCCTAGATTTCTACTTTATCAATTAAAATCACTCTTAGCTGTCTTTTCAATAAAAAAAAAAAAAGAAAAAAAACAATATGGAAGTTGCTCAAAAAATTAAAAACAGAGCTACCATATGACCCAGCAATTCCACTTCTGGGTACTTATCCAAAGGAAACAAAAACACTAACTTGAAACGATACATGCACCCCTATGTTCACTACAACATTATTTACCATAGCCAAGATATGGAAACAACCTAAGTGCCCATTGATAGATGAATAAAGAAAATACGGTATGCATATACAATGGAATATATTCAGCCATAAAACAGAAGGAATCTTGTCATCTGCAATGACATTGATGGACCTTGAGGGTATTACGCTAAATGAAATAAGTCAGACAGAGAAAGACAAATGCTGTATGATCTCACTTATACATAAAATCTTTTCTTAAAAAAGCCCAATCTCTGCCGGCCAAGTGGTGTGTTGGTTAAGAGTTGGCTTGGGGCACCAGCTCTGAGCAGCAGGGACCCGGTTCGGATCTCACATGAGGGCCAGTGACCCTGCGCCCTCTACAGCTAAGATGGTGAACAACAGCTCGACCTGGAGCTGGGCTGCCGTGAGTTGCCGGCAACAGCATAGGGGGCAGTGGGGCGACAGCGTAGGCTGCAGTGGGGCTGCAGTGGACTGCCATGAGCTACCGTGAGTGGTTGGCAGCTGCTGTGAGCCGCCGTGAGCAGCAGTCCAATGGCCGGCAAGCGACTGCCTCACCTGGGAAGAGCGCAATAATAATACCAACATGGGCCAGTGAAGTGACATCCTCCACAACTAGACTGAAGAACAAAAGGACAGCAACTTGTCTGTTCCCCTTCCCCGATTCCCCAACGCTGTTCCCCTCCCCCAATACCCCAATAAAATCTTTAGGGGAAAAAAAAAAGCCCAAACTCATAGATTCAGAGAACAGCTTGGTAGCTGCCAGAGAAGGGTGTGGGTGAAATGAGTGAAGGTGGTCAAAAGGCACTGTATTGTATATTTGTAAGTTGCTAAGAGAATAGATCTTGAAAGTTCTCATTACAAGAAAAAAAAATTTGTAACTATGTGCGGTGATGGAATGTTAACTAGTCTTATTATGGTGATCATTTTGCAATATATACAAATACAAATATTGAATCATTATGTTATAACACTTGAAACGTAAACAACAAAACAAAACTTACATTCCTGGAATACGCTCAACTTGGTTAGCAAGCATTATCCTTTTTGCATGTATATATACATATACACATACATTGCTGGATTTGGTTTGCTAATATTTAATTTAGGATTTTTACATCTAAGTATGGCTCTTATCAAAAGTATCTACCAAAGATGAATATGCACACCTTATGACTCAGTAATTCCACTCAGAAACCTGCACACACATACACATGTACCCAAAGACATTCACGAGAATGTTCATAACAGCACCATTCATAAGAGCCAAAACCTAGAAACAATATAACATCATCAGTAGAATAGATATTCTTGCCAATGGGCTATTATTCATCAATGAAAAAGAATAAACTACTGCTAAACACAGCACAGATGAATCTTACATAACATTGTGTTAAAAAAAGCTATCAAAAAAATACAGCATATGAGTCAATTTATAGAAAGTTCACATATAAACAAAATTAAACCTATCAAGATGTGATAACATTTTAGGGGAGCAGTGAGTAGGAGGGGACACAAAGGAGGCTTCTAGGGTGCCAGTGAAACTCTCAATCTTGTTCTGGGTTCTAGTCACATGATTATATTCAGTTTGTAAATATTCATTAATCTGAACATACAGAGCTGTGCACTTTTCTTTCATTACAATAAAAGGTGAAATAAAGGCACCT